GCTTTAAAATCCTCCTATATAATAAAGAGGTAATATGCAAATTGACTGTCACACCCTCACACAAGATGGCCACCCCCGTGTGATCACAAGATGGCAAGAGAGCAGTTAGGTGTCGATCAGGCCGGCAGGGGAGTGGTTAGGGATTGATCATGCTGGCAGGCAGAAGTGGTTAGGGGCAATCAGGCAGGCAGGCAAGCGAGCATTTGGGAGCCAGCAGTCCCGGATTGTGAGAGGGATGTCAGACTGCTGGTTTAGGCCTGATCCCGCAGGGACATCCGGCAGTTGGACATCCCTCGAGGAGTCCCAGATTGGAGAGAGTACAGGCTAGGCTGAGGGACACCCGCCCCCAGTGCACAAATTTTGTGCACCTGGCCTCTAGTGTAATTATAAAAGTAACTGAATAACACCAAGTATGAGATATAAATATGCTTTAATTACTAATCTGATAGTCATTAGCTTCTCCAAGAAGGTGATTTTGCACAGTCAACTAAAAGTGTGCATTCAGTCACTACCATATGCAAGTATGTCAGTAGAGATAATATTGTCTAAGTAGAGAATATTTTACATGTTCCCTTTTTCTTTCATCATCTTGCAAAAGAACCAGTTGGCTTTGAAGCAGTCCTGCCAGCCACACAACATGACAACTCTTGATAGTGCCAACATAACTGAATGGGACAGATGACTGATTTATTTTGTTCAGAGATATTTAGGACCACCTAAACATACTCTGGATTCTAGGGCATCTGATATCAAGTTGTAACTTAAGTGATAATGGATGACTTAGTCCTTACATTCCTTCACAGTCCCTGTGATCCCCCAAATAGGGAAACTCTTGCCAGTTCCCTGGTGTGACCATCTGAAAGGGTCATTTGTGCACATGTTGCTTTGCACATACGAGCTCAGAAAATGGAATAAGAGTGCCAATCTTTACATGTGAAATATGTGATGCATGTGATCCATACAGTTTTTATGTGAGAGGCAGATGCAACATGCCCTTTGTGTGATGACTTTATCTTTGATTCCTGTCCCTGTTGATTTCTGTGGCACTTGCTTTCAGTTTTACAGGTGGAATGACATTTTTTTCTGGCTGAAGTACCGTGGGTCAACTTCCTTCTTCAACTGCAGCTCATCTACTGCTGAGATTTCCCATCTCTCCAGGCTGTCATTATGTTACACCACATTATGCAGCACTGGTTCTTTTGGTATTATTTTTTCTCACTTACTTGTCTTATATTCTTTTACCTTTTTTCAATTCATTGCATTGTGCCCTGTCAGATCATGTGATTCACCAAAGACCTCAACTGGGATAAGGCTACATATATAAGTAAATCTGTGTCAATAAGTTGCTGCTGGAGTGTACCATTTATGTAGACAAAAATATTCTCAATAGACAACCTAGTTTATTCTGAGAGTTTTAAAACATTACCACCTTTAGGGGTGTTAGGGTCATTTTTGGAGTGAGAAAATCAATTGGATCTGAGATAATCAATCTTATATAGTGTTGCAGTAGTGAGCATTATGCTTTTGACATAAGAAGGAAGGAATATTCCAGCTACATTGATATTGTATATGCCATCAAGACAAGTTTACAAAGAAAGACAGTGGAAAAGATAATTCTGCAGCATGGTTCTCCAAGTTGAGTAGCTTATAAACTTTATCATTCATTAGAGAGTTATGATTTTACCTAATGCTGTTTGTATTTGGAGTACCATTTGTTTTTAAATTTTTATTTAAGTTCTGCGATAGAGCTGGAGACAAATAGTGTTACCTTTTTTTCTTGGGTCATAATTAAACATCCTGTACATGTTCACATGTCTGGAGAGTAATATTGATTGTTTGTTCTTCTTCTCCACAGCTCTTTGCACTAATGTTGAGCCAAATGATTGGATCTTATTCAAAAGTTCATTTGACTGAACAGTTATCAGGTTTTTCACCTTGGTTGGTGTTTTTCCTTTTAAAAAATATAAATTATGTTTCATATAGAAATATCAACAATAACAATAGTAACTAGAGGGCATAGGCTGCTTCACTGTGTGGTTGTGTTTTAAACACTTAGCATGTATTATGCCATTTAATAACAAGGTAGGTACTATTATCATCTCCATTTTGCAATGATGAAACTGATACTTAAGAAGCTGAGGAACTTTTTTTGGTTATAAGACTAGTGACTGACACACCATGATTTTGAACCCAGGCTTTACTGACTCTACAACCAACCGTCATCATAAAAACCATAATATAAGAGCAAAAAGAAAATTTATACATCTTTAGTTCAACTGTTCTTTCTACATATGAAGAAATAGACCAAGCAAGGTTAAATGCCTTACCTTAGGTTACAACTAGGAAATGGGAGGGGCAATTTCATTGGTTTCCATTTCCCAGGAGGCTATGCAGGCATATACCATTCTATGTAATTGGTTAGCTTGTATTAGGTATCTTCTTTGGACCAATCTGCTATCACAAGAAGTATGGCCATACTATACAGGATTGTTCAAAATGGATGCTACCTTGCTCCCTTTTGCTGGGGTTAAAGGAATCCTTGTAGCTGGGAAAACGACAAAAGCTGTTGACTGTATGGGGTTGTTATCTCCCAGGCTGGAAGCCCACTTCTAGCCAAACTCTTGCAAAGCCAGGAAGCAAATCCCTGCTAGAGACTTTTCCATGGTATTAGCACTCCTTCTCCTTTCACAGTCAGTCAAATCAAGGGTGAACCCAGCGTGCCTTCGTCGTCTTTGCTCAGTCCACTCTCCAGGCCCTGCTTCTGTGTTGAAGATAGATTGGGTTTGACAGATGGGAAACCAGCAGCAGTCCTGAGACTGGCTGCCAAACGGGACAGAGGAGGAGGTGATCTGATGGGTTGTGGCATTGAACTGCACGAATGAAGGCAATGAGTGGGGACCCTCCGAGGTGATAGCAGTATTTTTCATCACCAAGTGAACAGGTTGAAGGATTGCAAAAGGGAGAAGGCAGCTACTGGGCAAGGCACTGCTTTTTGTCATCTACCTATGTTATAGTTTAACTTGAATAATGGTGTTGCAACATAAATGTGTGTACCAATTGGACTTTTCTTTTAATAGTGTATTTTTCTGACCAAAAAACTATTCTAAAGTTATTTTAGAAAAGTATAAAGAAAGAAGTTGTGATCCACTGAGATGCACACACAGGTGGAATGCTGATTCACTGTGACACAGTGATGTTTCACTCTAGATGTGTGTTTCCTTGCCCTTTGCATCAGGCAGCCAGGCCTCTGTGCTCCGTGTGCCTCAGGGGAGAGTTGCATTGTAGAGATGAAAGCAGAATTTGCCTATATGTTAGAAATGAGGTTGGCTTTGGTGTTCTGAAGGCCCCTTGAGGGGACTATATCCCGGGAGGAAAGAATAGCAGGGACTTATTATGCGAAGGGGAAGCAGGGAAATATGAAAGAACAGAAAAAGAGGTTGATTTTGTAAGGTTAGTTGATCCAATGGTCTGCTGCTTTGGAGTGCCCCAGTCCTGGGGCAGAACTTGGTGGGGGAATGTGATCATCTAGAGAAGCTGTGCGTTTTCCGTAGGGACGCCCGGCCTTGGTTAAGAGTCCTACAGCACATGAAGCAGCCCCCTGCCCCTGACCCAGTACCAAAGTCTCAAAAGTCCTCCTGTCATGCATTTCTTTCAAACATGCAAATCTGAGCATGTTTCACAGCAAAAGATCCCCTCTGTAGGATAGAGAAACATATTCCAAGCAAATGAAACAGCATGTGCTAAACTATGAAGTTAATGGCACATGTACTGTGTACCAGTGACTGCCTCCTGCTGGATCATGGGGTTGTGTTGATGAGCAGCTGGATGGATGGGGAAGGGCTACTCATGGGTGGCCTTGGCTGCCATCTGGTGGAATCTTCATCTAGTAGGCCAATGAGTTTCAAACATATCTTAGGAGCACATAGAATTTTTATATAAAGTCTCCTACAGAAACTCATTGGATCCTCATGCCATACTGTCCTCCATACAGCCTTGAATTATTGAAGCATCTCTCTGTGACCATAGCTATGGATAATGGGAAACACATTGTCTGATTAGATTGGAAGGTTAATATGATGTCCAATGGTGTTATGAAGATACATTGAAGGGTGCAAACAGAATTTAGACTGGATGCAGAGAGACCAACTATGAATTTCAGTTTCTATTGTGAGCCTCATTGGATTTGATGGTAGACATTTAGTTACAATCCAGGGTCACACTCTTCTCTGACTTGGATTTAATTCCAGGACATGTTTATATACATGGTAAGAAGCACCACTCATTCAAAACTTTATTGTAAAGAGCAGGAAGTTCACAAATTTTAACACATTTAATTGCTATAGTAACCCTATATGGTATATGCTCTTAACTTCATCTTGCAGACAAGGAAACTGAGTCTCAGAAAGTTGAGTGATTTGTCAAAGTCAAAAAGCTCTTAATGGTTAGATCTGGGATTTGAACTTAGATAGCTTGCCTCCTAGGATGCTTCAGTATCTCTGGTCTTAACCAGCACAGCTATAATGTGGAGGTATCTGGGGGAGTGCACCATTTTGTCCTTGGGAATGATCAATCCTCTCTAGCATCCATTGCCATTGCATTTATTTTTCTTTATTCATGTTCTAGTACATTGTCCATGCTCTGGATCCTCCAGAATGATTCATTTAGGTACTCATAACCTATACTGCACCTGGTAGAAACTCTTTGAGACAGGACTCTATCTAGCCAGGTCAGTGGTTCTCAACTGGAATTTTACCTCCCGGGACATTTGGCAATATCTAGAAACATTTTTGGTTGTCCCAATTGGAGGTGGCAATTATGTTACTGTCATCTAGTAGATAGAAGCCAGGGATGCTGATAAACATCCTACAATGCGCAGGGCAGTCTCTACAACAAAGAATTATTGGGATCAAAATGTTAATAGTACTGAGGTTGAAAAATCCCAACATAGATATGAAATTGTATTTTAGCCATTTTATTTACAGTCTTGTTTTTTTTCTCAGGGCTCCATCTTCCCAGGAAGGCACAGATTCCCTTAGCTCCACCAGATCTTCTGGAGTTTCTGTTACCTCTCTCTCCATCATGGCTCAGCACAGAGCTGGTGAATGGGCTGGGACCTGGGTCCCCTTTTCAGGTACCCACGTAAGTTGAAACTCTCTCACTTACCTTTTGACTATTTCCCTCTCCCTTCCTTTTATCTAGTCTAAATGTAGGAAGCTTTGCTCTTACTCATGTACTTCAGAGTCTGTTGCCCATGAGCTCCCTTAATGTTTGAAACTCAAACTGCAAGAATTGATTACCCCTTTCCTTGCTTTGCGCTATGTAATCTCTTTCCTGGGGGCAATAAATACAAAAACGTCAGCCGCCTAACTGAAGTTTTACAGAAATGCTGGGACAACCATAGTTTGTCCACGCCAGCATTTTGCTATCTATATTTTGAGTTATACCGCTGTGTATGGAGATGTCACCAGATTTTTTGTGAAAGAAGGAACCCCTCTCTAGGAATTCATAAGCCATATAAGCAAATGATTCAAATGTGTTTAACCCAGGACTTTCCCACAATATTTGTCCAGAAGTCTTGTGTTTTTCATGGAATCCCCCAGAACAGTTTGCACATAATTTGGGAAATGCTGGTCTATGCTATAAATGTGGCCTTTGTCAAAGCACTGGCAGAAATAAGAGGAAAGGTAGAAGTTAGACTCACTAGGACTCAATGAATGATTGGTCCTGGGAGGTAAAGAAGCAAAACGAATCAGTGAGAGAATATAGAAACTTCAAAACGGAAGGAACAAATTTTGTGTTTGGCCTTATATATCACAAAATATTAGGCACCAGGGGTTTTTAAAAGTATAAGCCACAGAATGACAGTACTGAATTTATCTCTCTCCTGGATTGTTGTGTAATGGCTTTCTAAATGGTCTCCTAGATTTCATTCTTTTCCTCTTCTAATCTGAACACCCGATGCCACCATGGAAATCGTTCTGAACAAAGATGTAATCATGGCATTGCTCTGATCAAAGAACTTCTGTGATTCAGTTTTGTGTATAGACAACCCAAACTCCTTTGCATAGTGTTCATAGAACATTATGTCAAAATCTTCCTGAATATGGATTTAACTTTGTGTCGCCAGAATGAGCAGCTCTTACTCAATGAGATATTGCCTTGCACTGCCAGTGCTTCTGTGCCTTTTAGGGACTCTGGGGAACAAGACAGGCTGTTCTAGGGGACTTGCATCTATTCCTGCATTGTGTGAATGCCTTTATTCTCTAGCATTTATACATATATCTGTAATTTAATCTTAGAATGGGAGTGTGTGTGGTCTGCTCTGCCCATATGGATGTCTTTTGTCTGCCCCTCTAGATCCACTCTCACCCTTGTTCAATCAGTTCTCTGCTCTGGAAGGCTGCCCTGCATGGACTGAATCTAAAGAATCCCTTCGCCTCTGCCTTGTAGTTGGTTTTGGTTAATGGAAAATGCTGACGGGAGATAGGACGAAGGCAGGAGAGTGAGATCAGAGTATATAACCCCCAATTCCCCCTAGAAGGGCACCATAGACTGGCTGTGTCCCCTGCTGGTCTCTGTTCCTCTCAAGGTGGCCTCCTCCATGGTCTCTTCTCCTTTCCAGGTCCAGTAACTGCCCTTCCCTCTGCTCCAACCCCTGGTTCCTGAGTATCCTTGTGGCTCCTGTATACCCTGACTATATGGGTGTAAATAGTCCTTTAAACATAAACCCTCTTCTAATATTTCCAAATTGAATGGTGGACTTCTTTCTCGCTGGGACCTGGACTGATATAGCTAGCCATCTGAAACACTTCGATTTTTGAATGCCTGTGAATGGTAAAGATTTACATGATAAAGAGTTGAATTACACAGGGACATGTCACAAGATGTCCATTTTTGTGTTTTACCTCACATCATTTCAAATGGTACCCTAAAATTGAATATTCAACTTAAAAGTAATGGTGCATAAGGATATTTATTCACTGGTCAAGAAAGGCCATTTTATTTTGTGACCTATTGGCTGGAAATTTTTCCATTTCATTGACTAATGATTTTCCATGAAAATTAATGGGTGGGAGCTCTGAGTTGGTTTGGGTGATGGGAAGGACTTCATCTGCACACAGTTTTCTCTGGTAAGGTCCATGGGGTTAGGTGTGTTGGGAGGTTAATGGGAGCAACAGACCCAGAAACTATGGGATGGTTCAGTGACCAGAGTGTTTGAAGCTGTTCTTTAATATGTCTCCAAAGAATTTTAAAGTATAAGTAAGAGGCCATTAGCTGACTACGGCTCAGGAGTTGTCTTATAGATTCAGGTATGAATCTTCTTCAGGGGAAGAATTATCTGAAAGAATCCAGGTAGGAATGCCAAATCTTGATAGTTTTTCTCCTCTAGATGGTTACGGACTTCAGTGTTGACTTTTGAAAGGGACAGCAACATGCCATTTTTTTTTTTTTACAATAATAACTGATATTTAGCTCTTAGTCTATTTATTATTGGTTTATACTCTTTTTTAAGTGAAAAAATATATTTTAAAGATAGTTTTATATAACTTAATTTCATTTCTGTGATTCTAGCATTCTACCCGTGTAAAAAAAATTTACTGATTCTCTTTTAGGCAGAGTGACTAGTGCTCAAATAGGGCAGACCAGAGATAGCGTGAAGCTTCCAGTGTTCTCATTCGCTATTTTTTGCTTGTAGATTTAGCCATCTATCTATCTATCTATCTATCTATCTATCTATCTATCGCTTTATATCCCTGTGCTTTCCTTTTCCAAAGGAATCTTCTTTTGGAAATGGCAATACAGTAAGCGTTTTCTTTGGATCTGCAGAGGGGATGGTGCCCTATGTATTATAGTAGTGATAATAGGACAAAGAGTAGCAAACGAAATTAACCACACTTTCCATATCATTACAAGTGAGGCACTCCATGTGCATGAAGATTTTGGTATGAGGGATAAAAAGACAAATCTGTTGTACAGACAGGATTTCCTGTGTAGTTTTTCTGGTTTTTCATATACTGAAGTGTCAGTGTTGTGATCAGTAGTTCATGTTCAAGACATAAGATTAGGAAAGATCCAAGAAATCTCTTGACTGCTGTATGTAATGCTCAAGCTCTTTTTTGTTTGGTTGGTTGGGTTGTTTTCTTTTTCTTTTTTTACCTCCTATAGTTGGACACAGAGATAAATGTGTGTCATGTTGGAAAGAGGCTTTAGAAACAGGCATAGCTTTGGAAACTTGATATGTATAACTCACCAATTCTCACCTTGTTCACCTCTGTATTCACAGAGAGAAGCATTCTTTTGTACCCTAGGACTTGAACAGAAAATATTGGAGATTTATATTTTTTAAAGATTTAATAAATACACTGTGGGTGTATTTAACTTTTGAAATTTTAGCTGTAATTCTGAAGTAGTATTAAAATTGATAAAATGCTAATCATAATGCAAAACCTCTGAAAATGCACCTTATGTTTTAAGTTATTAAATTACAGTAATGACAGAAAGTATCTTTCTTCTTCTTAAAAACTATAATCTTGTATTATACCTGACTGTGCTATTACCTTGTGTTAGATCTCAAGCTTTCATTTATAACTATCAGTATAAAGATCTTTAAAAGGAGGAAAATAAATAGTTTTGATATTTATTATCGTGTCTAAGTAAGATAGTCAGGTTTTTTTACTAATGTGGAAGCTCTTTGTTGTCGGGAATGCAAATATAAAATACATAAACTTGAATACCTTCAAAATACCTTCTAAATGAAGCAGTGTATTTGGAAGAGGGAAAACCACGGTGAGTCAGCTGTCTCCAGGTTCTGCTCTCAGAACAGCTACTGACTTGTTTAGTGACCTTGGCCGTCTTGGTCTAACTCCATTTTCGTTTTCCCTCCTGACGCGTGGAATTTCTTTCTAACCTGCTTTCTCTGGATGTACTTTGGAAGAAAGATGCCATCTAAATACCATTAAAAACAATAGTATTTCCTATCTCAGGAGTGAACTTCAACCTGGAATGTAACACAATCCACTGTTTGTTTGTTTGTTTTTTTTTTTTACTTTGTAATCCTTACCAAAGATAAAATAAAATCCAAGTATATTTTAACGGAGCACTCTGGGATAAATGACTAAAATTTCATTACCATATAAAAATTATATTCTATACAGATTATTTTACGTGTGAGAACATGGCTTAGCAAGCTGGCAGCTTGAAAGTCCTTGCTTTATTAGTTAGCAAAGGCTCTGGGTTTTATCACAGTTATTGGCAATCTCAGTTTTTGGGTGCCAGGAATTGAAAATGATATGCTCAGCTGACCCTTTAATTAGCTCTCATTCTGTCTTCCATGATTTATAGCCTGGTGGCTCACGTGTAAAAAAGATATATGATTTAATGAAGTGGAAAGGCAGACTTGTTTTCCGCCTCCGATTGTTTAATGCTTTCCTCTGGCTGGTGACTGGAGCTCCAGGGGCAAACAAAGCAGCAGTTATATCCCCTGGTACAAGGACAGGAAGGTCCAGTTTGCTATGATTTGTGATTGTTTGCAAAGATGCTTCTGTTTCATTAGGAACCAAAAGAATTGATTCCGGTATCTTGAAACAGTCTTCTAAAAGAAATACGAAAGGCTGTGGACTGAAATTCTCTTATTTTGCATTTTTATTTTATTGCTCTGAATGCAAATATTATGGGGAAAGCAATACAGCATTTAATCTGCAGGGCTTTGCAGTGGTTTAGCACCATTGGTCCATTAGGTCCGTAAGTGTTTATGGCGCACATTAGGTATTGATCGAGTCACTGGGTTACAGCAGTGACCAAGAGAGACAAGGCCCCATCCTGGGAGGACAGATAAAACACCAATAAATAAATAAATGCGTAAATATGATCATTTCTAAGTTGTGCCATGGGGTGAGTGCCCGAAAAACAATTTTAAACAGGGTGCTCTGAGAGTGCATGCGGGGAATGGTGGGCTGCTATAGAGCTGGTGTCAGGGAAGGACACTCAGATGAAGGGGACCCCTGGGCCAAGACCCACAAGATCTGAATGCTGCAGAAACAGGAAGGTCTGGAGGCTGAGCTTCCCGAGCAAAGGGCACAGAGAACACAAAGTCCAAGGAGGAAGGACCTTGATGGACATGAGAAATGTGGAAAGGAAAG